AAAGTGTGTGCGAGGAGGCAGGGGAAAACCAAGGCCAAGTGGAACTCCAGCCAGCAGGAAGGCTGAAACTGAAAACTTGAGCTACTAGCAAAGCTGAAAAATAAAAAGGAGAATAATATTTGCTTAGGCCGTGTCAATGTGGGGTGAGGTCATGGGCTTTCTTTCAGTTTCTGATGGTTTTGCTGACCCTAAATCACTGGAACACAAATCCTCAGGCAGTGGGAGTAGCTGTGGGCTTAGCCTTGAGTGATGGGGAGGAGAGGAACCTCCCAGCTGAGGTTAACTGGCTCAACATATAGTGAGGCTTGGAGCTGCTGCACACTGTCCACTAGCTGGAAAACCCCAGGGAGATGGATGGATTTGTCCAAATACAATCTCTGTCTTGGAAAGATGTCAGGGAATCTGTCCCTTCGATGCCAGGTAGAATATGGCACCTCAGGATTCTGTTGTTGCTATCATTTGACATTTGGACTCTTTAAAATCCCTCAGCCCTAGTGTGGACACAGAGCACTAGCAGTGGAATTATTCTGGACAAACCTCTTGCTGCTGTTACTTGTTCCCTCAGTTCCTCCACAGGTTTTTGTCGGTTCATCTCCTCTTTGCTCTCTGTTTCCTCTAAAGGGAATTACTTGGATTCAGCAGCTTGACACCGTTCACTATATACAACAAACTCTTGTGCAGGCAACTGAATTAATCCAGTCTGGATCTCCCCACCAGCTTTCCTACTATGGTCAGTCTGGAGCCACATGGTTTGGATTTTCTTGGCAGGCTCAGGATATATGTGTTAGAGATTTTTCCAGCATTTGTTTCTGTTGTGAACTAATTTAGGTGATGGGGTTTTTTCTTATTCCTGTGCTTAATTGATAATTTTCATTAAACTTTTAAAAACCTAAAGGACAGAGCAAACTGCTCTCAAATTCAGCTCTGGGCAGAGTAAAGGAGCCCAAAATGCTAGAAGTGGTTGAAGGAAGATTTCTCTGCTGTGACCACTCAGGTGAAACCACAGCCCTGGGATTTATGGTGTTGGATTTGATGATGTTAAAGGTCTTTTAGAAGCTAAATGATTCCAGAATTCCACACACTCCAAAGTTTGCTAGATTCTAAGAACAGCTTTGAAAGCACCTACTTTTGCTTTGTGGGTCTTGGGAGCCTTGAGGTGGAGGTGAAGAAACAGAGGGGTATGGTTTAGTGCCTGGTTTTTGTTATTCCTCATCTTAGTTCCTGCCTGGAAGGTGGATGTGGTGTTGTCAAGCCTGAAACTCTGAAGTTACCTACTAGACCTTGTGCAGCAGCATCACATCTTGTGGGAGTCAGAGCTTCCTCATGCCTTCGGTTACCATAGCAGGACAATTCTGTGACAGCATCAAAGGGGGTTTAGGGGGGAAATCCTGCTGACAGGAAAAAAGAGGCTGGAAATTTGACTGCTAAAAGCAGTAAACCAGCAAACTCACTGTTTTGGTTGCTACCAACTAGTTTTGAGGGGGTTGGTGCATTCACTCTCCAGATTCTTTTGGGACTTGTAGATCTGTGGTTCCTCAAGCTGTCAAAATCCTTCATGACTTTGCCTGTGTCTGCATTCCACTCCCAGTACTCTTTTATTAAGATACTTAACTTTCACTGTTTTGTGTAGTTCCTGAAAAGCTGTTACTTATTTTTTACTTGGAAGTGGCAAATACCTTTGAGACCTGCACTTGAAATGCCTGGAAAATGTCTTTGAATTGGTGCAACTGTTGGTGCTGGGCAGCCTGTGAAAGCACAGGAGTCGAAACATTTCTCATCATGTTCTTGTTTTTTTTCTAAAATTGATTACACAATGCCAGGAAATGAAATGTAGCATTTCTCATAGAAAATAACTGGCTTTAAATAGTGGGAAACAGAGGAGGGGAAGTAAATGGGGAAGAAAAGTTGGGAGGGGAAAGGAGCACACATAGAAAAGATTGTCCTACCCTGGAATTTCAGAGGACAAGCTGACCCTGGTCAGTATTAAGATATCTAAATCCTGAGCTCTGTAGGTCTAGGACATGACCTTACTAAGTAATTCTGGAAGTTCTACTATTTCCCACTAATTTTTTTTCCATTAGACCTTAAACGTTGGAGTTTTGGGTTTCACCAAAGCAGTGAGGAGAAAGACTTGGGATTGACAGTGGATGAGAAGCTCAGCATGAGCTGCAGTGTGAGCTCAGCCCAGAGAGCCAATGGAATCCTGGACTGCATCAAAAGGAGTGTGGGCAGCAGGTCAAAAGAGGTGATTCTTCCCCTCTACTCTGCTCCTGTGAGACCCACCTGGAATACTGCACACAGTTCTGGTGTCCTCAACATAAGGACGTGGAACTGTTGGAGCAAGTTCGGAGGAGGCCAGAAAGTTGGTAAAAGGACTGGAGCATCTCCCCTGTGAGGACAGGCTGAGGGAGTTGGGGCTGTTCATCCTGGAGAAGAGAAGGTTGTGTGGAGACCTCAGAGCAACTTTTCAATATCTGAAGGGGCTCCAGGAAAGCTGGAGAGGGACTTTTTGTTAGGAACTGCCATGTTAGGACAAGGGGTAATGAATTCAAATTGAAGGAGGGGAAGTTTAGGTTAGATATTAGAAAAAGATTTTTTTTCCTGTGAGGGTGGTGAGACACTGGCACAGGTTGCCCAGGGAGGCTGTGGCTGCCCCGACCCTGGCAGTGTTCAAGGCCAGGCTGGATGAGGCTTTGGTGCAACCTGATCTAGTGAGGAGGTGTCCCTGCCCATGGCAGGGGGGTTTAGGACTAGATGATCTGTAAGGTCCATTCCAACCCCTTAAATTCTGTGATTCTGTTTATCACTTTATTTCTTCTGTATTCTAGGAACACCTGAGACCTGCTCAGGGCTTGAGATCCCCTTGTTAGCTGTCAAACATGTACAGAGGAAAAGCTCTTCATATACATTTCAGTCCTAGTTCAGGGTCTCAGCAGGTCACAGTGTCAATGACTTCATCCAAATTGCATCTTGATGCTGTTTGTTCTGCAACATCCTGTGCCAGTGTAATGATTATTACAAAACACTATAAATAAACTGGGGAATTTAGGATCTCTGTCCCACTGATTACCACATATGTTTGCATCACTTTTTAGCTGTTGTTACAACTGTTGGGGCAAAATTGAGGAAACTTTTTCTTCAAGTTTTGTGAAAAGCTTTAGTGCAGAAAAGAAGTACTGGAAAGGGACTGGGAAATGTGTTGCCTAATCATAGGCTGGTTTGGATGGGAATGGACCTTAAAGCTCATCTAGTTCCACCACTTGCCATGGGCAAAGACACCTTCCATTACCCCAGGTTGCTCCAAATCCCATCCGGCCTGGTCTGGAACACTCATCCTGTTTCCATAGCAGAGATGCTCCAGCCCTTGGAGCATCTTTGTGGTCTCCTCTGCCCACACGGCTGGGGATGAGCCTAGGACACAGTTGGTTTCTGGACTGCAAGTGCACACTGCAGCTCATGTTGAGCTTGCTGTTCAACAGGCACCTCCAAGTCCTTCTCCTCAGAGCTGCTCTCAATCCATTCTCCCTCCAGCCTGTGATTACGCCTGGGATTGCTCTTGCCCATGTGCAGGACCTTGCACTTGGCCTTGTTGAACTTCATGAAATTCACAGGATCCCACCTTTCAAGCCAGTCGAGGTCCAGATCCATCCCTTCCCTCCAGGGTTTTGGCCACACCACACAGCTTGGTGTCACTGCCAAACTTGCACTGAGTGCACTCAATCCTGCTGTCCCTGTCACTGACAAAGATGTTAAACCCTTTGCCTCCAGGTGTTATCACCTGAGCTGAAATCTTTAGGAAGTGTTGGAGCTGCTAAGAGCTTTCAGCATGAGGCGTGTTGTAAAAGTCCTCTCTGGTGTTGTAAATGCATGAGGTTTGCAAAAAACAATTCTTCCATTACGTGTTTTCAATAATTCTGTCAAGTATTCTTGCTATAACCCTTAGTAGGCTTTTAGTATGCACATAGGTGTTTTTAATACCTTCAGCATTCAGAAAGGTTTTTAATGATTTGTTCAATAATTGATGGAGCTTTGGCAGAATTTAGGCTTTTGTGAGAGATGGAAGACAGATGAGGAGAATATATAGTTGTTTAGTTTAATCAGCCCTGTCTGTGAATTGTGTAGGTAAAAAGCAAAATGAAGGAATGGAGCAAGTGAGAACCTTTTCTAGAAAATTATCCCCTGAGCAGAAAACTGGATAAAGCTTTAATTAACTTATTAATTCAATGCTTAAGTATCTGCAAAGTGTTTTCTGAGCAGTAACAGTCATTACCTTTCAGAATTGTGTGCAGTTATATGGACCTTATATTTACATTTATTTCCCTGTGAGCCAATAGATTTCATTTCTCAGCTCATTTCCCTCAATCTTAGTAAGATACAGCAGAAAACAGGAATTGTCCTCTTCTAGGCTTGTTTTAAATACTGAAATGCCATTTAGTCTTTGATGCAAAATTCCTATCTATAGAGATCAGTTTCCTTTTGACAGGTTGTAAGAAGTAGCCTTTAATGAGGAAAACTACATTGAAAGTGCTCAGGTTTTGTCAGCGTTTATATGAAATTGAGGGGATCTTTCTGATATAACTAGAAATTAACAGTAATGATCTCCCTGAAGTCCTGGCACTTTAACTGGGAATCAGTTGTATTGCTCATGTGCTTTAAAATCAAACCACAACTCCCTAAACCCCAAGTCTTTGCTAGGGTCCAAGTTGCTGTGAGGGTTGGGAACAAAATATAATTTCAGAGAAAAAATGTGTTTGGTGTCTACATGATAAAAATGGTAAGTACTGGGCACTTCTGAACGAGAAACAAACAAGTGCAGCTTGGGCTTTTCCATTAAAAACCAGCCACAAATTCCTATTGTATGTGTTTACTCAGCCTTGTAATGACATGTTCTGATACACTGCTTTTCCTGATCCTAGGAAAGGTGTTTATATAGCAAAATAAATTTGATTATAGTACTTTTGTGGAGATGTGTATAATAGTCATATATTTTTATTCCCCAGGCAATCAGCTCCAAAGGCCATCACAGTATCTCTTTCACGTTATCCAGAAGTCAGACTGTTATAGTGGAGTATATTCATGACAAAGACACAGACATGTTTCAGGTAAGACTCTACAATACATGTATTGTTTGTTACAAGCAACATATGGAACCACAGCTCTGCATCACATTCTCCTGAGCATTCTCTTTAAGCTGTGAAACATCCACAGTTGAACCAGTTGGATTACTGTGGGAGCACTTGGAAATTTTGCATTATTCTGCTCTTCTCAGACCAGCAGCAGCATCTGTTCATGTCCTATGGTGGGTTAACCCTGGCTGGGTGCCAGGCACTCACCAAAGCCACTCTCTCACTCCCCTCTGCAAATGGGCAGGGGAGAGATAATATAATGGAAAGTTCATGGGTTGAGATACAGACCAGGAGAGATGGCTCAGTGAGTACTGGCATGGACGAAACAGACTCAGCTTGGGGAAATTAAGTGATTCATTACTAACAAAATCAGAGCTGGATAATGAGAAATAAGACAGACCTTAAAAACACTTTCCCCTACCCCTCCCTCCTTCCCAACTCTACCTCTTCCCCACCAGTGGTGCAGGGAGAAGGGAAGTGGAAGCCAAGGTCAGTTCGTTGCACATTGTTTGTGCCACTGCTCTCAAGGAGAGGAGTCTTTCCCCTGCTCCAGCGTGAGGTCCCTCCCATGGGATCAGTCCTTCCTCTGCTCCAGTGTGGGGTCCCTCCCATGGACTACAGTTCTCCATGAACTGCTGCAGCATGGGTCACTCTCCACAGGATGCAGTCCAGCCCCTCAGGAACAGCTCCAGCATGAGTCCCTCACGGGGTCACAAGTCCTACCAGGGTCTCTGCTTCAGCATGGGTCTCCTCTCTCCGTGGGTCCACAGGTCCTTGCCAGGAAGCAGCTCCAGCAGGTGTTTCCCACAGTGTCACAGCCTCCTTTGGGCATCCACTTGCTCTGTGTGGGTCTTCTCCACAGGCTGTAGGTGGATCTCTGCACCCTGTTAACCTCCATGGGCTGCAGCGGCACAGCTGGTTCACCATGGTCTTCACCAGAGGCTGCAGAGGATCTGCAGCTCTGACCCCTGGGGTACCTCCTCTCCCTCCTTCTCCACTGACCTTGGTGTCTGCATAGTTGTTCTTTTCACATACTCACTTCTCTCTTCTCTGGCCACAATTACTTCTGCACAGTAACTTTTCTTTCCATCTTAAATGTGTTATCACAGAGGTGTTACTGCCATTACTGATGCTGTGCCACCACTTGCCACAGCAGTGGGTCTGTCCTGGAGCCACTGGTATTGGCTCTGCTTGACTTAGGGAAGCTTCTAGCAGCTTCTCCTAAAAGCCACTCGTGTAGCCCCCCCCACTGCCAAACCCTGGCTGTGCAAATCCACTACATGTCCTCACTGTCCTGCTGCTTTTTCTGTGCTCTGCTTTTTCTCCCAAGACAAATAGTACTAGGAGGAAATGTGTGCTCTGTTTGGGCTCATGAATGAGCACAAAAATCCACCCACCACCTTGCAGTAAATCAATAGCTGGAGTGAAAAGGAAGTGGACAGGAGTAGGATATGGGATGGGGAAGGAGGAAGATTAAAGTGAAGGTAGTGAGGGGAATGCAGGAGCTAAAGAAGACAAAGTAGTGCTGGAATGATAAACTGTTCCTGAGGGGTATAAATACATCAGGTGGTGTAGGGGACTGTGCTGAGTTTCTCTGTGCTACTATCTATTATCCAACATGTTTTTGCTCTCCCCTCTATGCATTTGGGGGGTTCTGCATCATTTACCATTCTGGTAACCTGAGTTATTTTCTTGTCCAATGCTTACTTTTATATATAATAGGAGCAGAAATTCTGTATCACTCAGACTTCAAACTTGAGGAAATCCCAACACACACATCCTTTTCCATTCTAGACTGATCAGGTCTGGCATGTCTGTGACCCCCAATTAGAGCATCTCACCATGAACTGTTACCCCTCCTCATTCAGTCTTTCATATTTAGCAGGGTCAGCAGCTGAGTGTTGTTGACAGAAGAGGAAATAGCTCTGTTGAGATGTCTTTGCTTCACATAGCTTCTATGTTTTGCTCTATATTAAATTTTCCCAGTGTGACTGAAACTATTAGGCCCAAATAGGGATTGAGTAAAATCCAGTCTTGTTCATTTGCTGCAGGATGAAGGATTGCACTGTCAGGGTGAGCCGAAATAGGCTTTTCTGTGTTGACTGGTAAAAGAAAAATGTAACCAACCCTTTTGAGTTTCTGTGTGATACTTGTTTATCTCTTGAGTAGCTCCACTGAAACTTTTTCCTGTATGTAAATTTTGAAAAGCCACAGGCACAGATGATACTTTCTTCTTCTGTCACTTCTCAGGTACCTGCTGAAATGCCACAAAAACCCTCATTTTGACCCATGTACTAACAGACTTATGAGAGACTGCCAGGTCAGGCAGTCACCTGCCATACTTGTGTAGTCAGGTGACTGGTTTGACTTGTGACAGGTCAACCTATCCCATCTTACTAACAATAAAACCTGAGTTGAATCATGTGCTGGTAGTGTCTGTTCTGGTGCCCCTCAAGTGGTTTGTGTGTCAGGGTTAAGGTTTCTGTATTGTTTAAATGTCTCTTTTCAGGGCAGTGTTGTTTCTTCTGTATTGAGGTGTGTAGATGGTCATGGTGTGACTTGATCTCAGCCTGACCACCCAGCACTGTGTCCTGATTCGTGTTTCCACTCTCTGGCTGTTTTCTGAGGATCACACTCTGTGCATTGGCCTGGAGGCTCTGATAGCTGGTGAGAGTGTAAACAGGAATGTTCTGGCAGACTGTAGCAATATTTTGCCACTCAGGTGTTGCCAGAGAACAGCTGAAGACGTATCCATTGTTTAGCTAAGCCATTAGATTTTAATTCTCTGCAACCTGATTGTTGCAGAGAGGAGGGATTTCCCCAAGATAATACATGTTAACAGCAGCCAAGGAGGAGCCTTAAGCCTCAGGATAATCCTGTGGTCCAAGTGTTATCCTTCCCTTTTCAACTTCCACATCCTGCGTGTCCTACACAAGCCAAGTGTAGCCAGCTTCTCAGGGAGAAGTTACTGGAGGCCTGTTTTGTACAGCCCTGTGGTACATGGTGACAAGTTATGTGTCTGTAGATCCACACAGTAGAGTTTTCATAGTATGTTAAGGAGTTGGAATGGACCTTAGAGATCATCCAGCCCCAACCCCCTGCCCTGGGCAGGGACACCTCCCACCAGAGCAGGTTGCTCAAGGCTTCATCCAACCTGGCTTTGAACACTGCCAGGGTTGGGGCAGCCACAGCCTCCCTGGGCAACCTGTGCCAGTGTCTCACTACCCTCACAGGGAAAACTGCTGCCTATTATCTAATCTGCATTTCCCCTCTTTCAATTTTTTGATCAAGCATCATTTGGATAGTCAATCCTTGGAGTTGCTGTTTTCTTTTCAAATGTGTATTCTTGGCTTGTGTAGGACACTCAGGATGTGGAAGTTGAAAAGGGAAGGATAACACTTGGACCACAGGATTATCCTGAGGCTTGAGGCTCCTCCTTGGCTGCTGTTAACATGTATTATCTTGGGGAAATCACTTTGCTTTTTCTTTTTTCCCATCTCAGCTGCTTCCCCCTGTGGAATGGGATGAAATGGGCACTGCATGACTTCCTCAAAGTAACCACAGTAAGGAATGTGAGAAGCTTAGAATGGTGGTTGTTAGCAGCACTTTAGTCAGTGAGACCCAAAATGGGAAAGAGAGATGCCAGAAATCTTTTTCTTGGCTGGGGTACCATTTCTGACCTGTGCAGACTGAATCTGCTGAATTAGAGCTGATTTCCTGTGAAAATGAGAGAGAGTCACAGTTCACAAAAGCTCTCAGCTTTTTCCTTCCTCCACTTTGAGGATCTGTTGTCAGTCCTGTTCTTTGAAGGACTATCTGATAAACGTTGTATTAGTGACTTCTGCAGTTTTTCCAGAAACAAACAGGAAAATCTTGAAGATTGCAAACCCAGAATAGCTTGTTTTATGCCTTCCAATCTTACAACCAAGAAGCAGGAGTAGGTGCCTATCCAAAGTGAGGTGTATAGGGAAAATGTGGGAGGCTATACAAGGGGCAGGAAGAGAATTCAGAAGGCATTAGAAGAGCAGTGTTCAGGCTATCTAAATACCAATTTTCTGGACATTTTTCCATAATAAAATGAAAATGACCATATTTTCATGCATATAACTTAGCAGTTAAAAGTGGTTTAAATCACCTGCCCCTCATGCAGACACACCTCACTTTTTTTCTTTTTTCTTTTTTCTTTTTTTTTCATGTAGGAGTAGTCCTGCCCCTGTTCTTCCACTAGCTTTGTCCTGAAGGCAAAGCTTTGAATGTGCTTTAGAAAGGTCATCCTGGACATCTCAAAATTCTGTTCTTATGTTTGGGAATAGTTAGTTAGTATTTTCTTTATTCCCTCTGTACTGACTGAGCTGTTGTTCTACTGTGTTGTGTGTGGTTTGGTTTTCTGGTTTTAAGTGCAATTCTGGCATGAAATTTGTGTATAAATTGTATACAAATGCTACTGTGCACCTTTGTCTTAGTGACATCCAGATCAGATTTCATCACTAGGTAACAAAAAGAATGTGCTAGTGTGTTCCATTTGGCATCTCCCAAACTCTGTATGCAGTGTCTATATGCTGCTAAAAATGAAGATTTCCTTCAGAATTGAGTAACAATTCTGTTGATCACACATCAGTTGAAGTACAGCCTATTCCTTCATGGCTTGATTGGGTGAAGATGTGTTGATTATACCTGTTCATGCCACTACAAGGAACCAAAATGTGTAGCTTTTACCCTAAATAACTGCAAGTTTATACAAGCAGCAGGCACATTCACTAGGAAGCATTGATTTTTTTTATTTTTTTTTTTCTGAAGAACAGCCCTTCAGAAGATGCATAGTCCAACTCTCCCTCTCATCAGTGAAATTCTGTTGAAGAGCAGGAACCTGCAGCTGTTAAATTATGTGCTGGCAGGTTGTCTGGTTTTGCCTTGTCTCAGGAGTGTTTTTACTGGTACTGCTGTGACTGACAGGAGACACGAGCAAAGTGATGGACTGCTTGGCTTTTACACAGCTCTGAACAACAACCTGTGCTGTAGACAACAGAAAACTGTCTGATGTGTCAGTTGGAAGATTTATGGTTTGTTATCAGAAGTAACTTATGAAATAATATGTAATATAACACAGTTAACAAGAAGAGTCCCAAAATACAGAGTAAAATTGCCAGAGAAGAGAAAGTCTTTTGTGCTGGAGAGGAAAATGGAAGAAAAATGAGTAATGAAGTGTGTGAAGGGCAGCTCTGAGTAATGGAAGTAGGTGTGTAGTGACTGCAGCCTGACTGCAACATCAGATGAGTGGTGGGTTCATGTTGATAGCATCAAGTTCTTCATTTATTTCCTAGGGACTTTCTTTTCAGATGATCTCAAACCCATACCTTGATATGGAGCATGAGGAAATTGCCAGAGTTTGAAGGGCCACTTCTTTTCAACACTAGGATTTATTTAAGCAGCACAATATGACACTGATCCTCTAGAAGGAAAAAAAAAATGGGAAGAAAACTCAAGAATTTAAAATATTTGATGTTGCATCGACATCCTTGTGACAGAAATGAGAAGTAAAATACTTACTGTATTTATATAAAATATTAGCTGTCATTTCAGAGGTTTTAAAAAACACATAAAAGCATTGTACATAGGTTTTAATGGTTATATCCAAACAGATTTGGATTTCCTGTTACCAATTAGGATGATGGGAGGGAGACTGGGAGCACACACTTGTGTGTTTTGTCATCCTTTAAGGACAAATGAGGCAGGTTTTTCCTCTAATTGCATCTAGAAGCTTGGAGAGAATCATCTATTTGAGTCTGCAACAGGCAGAAACTTGTTTTGAACAAATTAATTTCATGTTTGTTATTGATTATCCTCTGAGAGATTCCACCTACAGATAGAGAATAGTCAAAAGATATTCATAAGGCTCCTGCTGCTGCTTGGAGCTGAGTCTTAGGAATTGCACAGGGTGGGAAATAGAAGCCTGTTAGAGCTAATTCTGTAAAAGGAAGAAGAATATTGCTTTATAAGTTTTAGCTTCAAGTTGTCAAGTCGGATAAATCAGAAATGTCCCATATTAAACAGTTGCTAAACTCTGTCCCTTGGGTGTTCTCGTAGTCACATTCTGTGAAAAATTGAAATATATACTTTTGATTAGGCCTTTTCTAGGCTTTGCTTTGCAGCAAACTCATCACATTTTCTGCTTGAGCTGAGACCTGTGATATGGAGAGAGTAAGTGGATGTGTCACTTAAGACACAAAGTTTGACATGTGCTGGAGTGTAACCCTCCAAGTAGGACTGAAAGCACAAGTACAGGAGAGATCCCTGTGCTATTTCTGTCAGTTCAGTTGTGACAAGGGTTAAGTATTAACAGTATCACCTCTCTTGACTCTCTTGAATAATATTTCTTTACAGCAAATTTAGTTTGCAGAGGTGTTTGTTGATGATGGAACCATCCTTGTCTCCCCATAGCTGGCTCTGAAGAGCAAGAACTAAGCAGAATGTAACTCCTTGGGTGACAATGAAATCATGTTTAGTTAGGAGATTATATAAATGTTATGTAGCTTAACGTGAAGAATATTCTTCATTTTCTTCTGTTTGGTCACAGGGTGTCTCTAAAACTAATATTCTGTTCCACTCCTTGTTCCTCAGCTCCACTTTCCCAGTTATGCTCAAAGTTGGTGTAACATTAATTTGACTGTAAAAGTGTTGATAAAGCCTCACTGTGTTTGATTGGCAGTCAGAGCATAGAATCTTAGGGGTTGAAATGGACCTTACAGATCATCTACTCCCAACTCCCCTGCCCTGGACAGGGACACCTCCCACCAGAGCAGGTTGCTCAAGGCCTCATCCAGCCTGGCCTTGAACACTGCCAGGG